GATATATATGTCAGAGTGCTTTTGAGGGAGTATGTAACGGTACCGGAGGGAGTGAATGTTTGGTGGTGGGAGGTTAGTGAAACCAGGGATGTTCAAGAGAATGGGTGGGGGAAGCTCCAATAAAGAGCTGAGAAGTACATTGGATGGGGCATACCTTGAGACAATAAATATTGATCAATGAGACATTGAATGAGTGCCCCTCCAATTTTCCAATTGTCGTGCCACAAAAAAACATGAATCCCATTCCCAGCTTTGATCTTTATCAGAGGTCTTGCTTTACTTTTTAGGTGGAAAACTATCTAAAATTTCAAAAACATTCTGAAAATCATCATTAAAAAAAAACAGAGCAGTTTTAAACATCCAATCAATTTCTCTTTTGGACAATAAATTGTCTTAACTTTTCTGAATACATAAAATTATACACTCAATTAAGGTTGTATAATCAAGTGAAAACCATTTTTTTTTTTCTTTTTCAAGTCAATGTGCTGCATTAATCAACCTCCTTTCTTGAAACGGTTTAGTACTAGTACAAGAAATTTAGGTAATGCTTCTATTATTAAAGCCTTTATTATTATTATTATTATTATTATTATTATTATTATAATATTAGACCAGTGACAAGGAAAAACCCATAAAAGAACAAAATCAATATTTATTGTGTAGAAAAGAAGTCCTTACAAATTACACAAATCTAATATAATAATAATATTCAATTTACAACTTAATATATGTTGAAATTGGCATTCAAAAACTGCACCGGAAGTAAGACTGGGCAAGAAAGATGAAGCGGCGTGAGTTCCGGCACTTCCCCATCAGCTTCACAATGGTACCCACCTCTCTTTTTCTTGGGTACCAAATTCATCAGTAGTGGTGGTGGTGGTGGTGGTGCTGAACCTGCAGTATTAGCTTTGGAGAATTTGTTGTCATGCACGTGATCATAAGTAACTGCAGTTTTGAGCTTAGTAGTACTATTATCATCAGCCGCTGCCGAGTATAGCTTCTCGGCCTGTATCGGAACAAGTTGCCGTTGGTCATCGATCTTCGGTGGCCGAGGGTAGTAGAAATCGGTGGGGAAGAAACTGTATGAAAGGCCCGCCATTATTGAATAACTCAAAAACACAGATGTAGTTGTACGCGTTATGAATATACAAAACTAATCTTTGCTCTCTCTCTTTGGTGTCTATATATAATAAGAGTATATCTATATATAAAGGTCAGAGAAATCCTCGACACCTTGTATCTTACGTGACTTGGGCCTTAGGTATTTGTTGAACACCGAATTATTGAATATTCTAACTCGTTATCTTCCTACACCTTTCCGGAATAGGAATAGAAGTTTCTCCTATTTAAGAAACAAATCAACATGGGCTCATTCGGCCCAACCCCAACTACTGTTGGGTCTCACACTGTGGCCGATTTGGGCCAAATCGGCCCAATTACCTCTCCATCAGTCCCACACAGTAGCAAGTTCTATTTTTCTCATAAAATGAAAGGCAACTATAAGTTCTAAACTTTTCTTTTTAAACCAATAACTTCTAATTTTGAGAATTTTTTATTTTTTTATTTATTTTTTGAAATTTAAGTTCTAAATCACTACATCTTTCATTTATACTCTTACTAACTAGAAGTAAAATTTTGTATTTAGTTATTTTTTTAATATTCCATTAAATTTTAGTTACTTAAATTATGAAAAAAGTTTTAGTTATTTAGAGAAAAAAAAAACAGTTTTAGTGTAATGCCTGTACCTTATATATAAATATAAGTGCATATCTGTCTATTTGTGTTTGTGTGTGTGTGTGTGTGTGTGTGTGTGTGTGTGTGTGTGTGTGTGTGTGTGGTGTAATTTAAAAGCAAGAGAAAAGAGAAAAGAAAAAAAAAAATAGATGGGACCCATAAGCACTTAAATGGTCATGAGACCATTTTTGCTTTCATTTTCTCTCATTCCCGTAAGGTTCTCTAAGCTTCCTTCTTTTAGTTTTTTTTTTTTTTTTTTTTTTTTTTTTTTTTTACTTTTTTTGGTGTCAATCTTCATCTCTTGATTTCTTCTTCTATACTTAATGTTTTTGAGAGTCGTTTGCGACTATTTTTGTTATTTTGTGAGTTAATTGTTCTTGATTAGTGTCCTAGCATGCTAAATTGTGATGATTGTTCCTTTGTGAATTAATTTTTTTTTTGATTGATATCCTATTAGTATTTTAGCATGCTATATTGTGATAATTGTTCCTTAAAGTGACTTATATGAAACATGTGAGAAGGTGTATTTAATTAAATTATAATATGTATTTAATTGAATTGTATGAAAATAATAATAATAATAATAAAATGAAAGAAAATAAAATAAAAACATGCTTAATGTGTTAGTTTTCTATGCCAATTAATTTGTCAGAAATTTATGTGAAAGCTTGTTAATTGTGTGTTAAAAATTCTCTCTATTTCCATATATGCACACAAGCATTGGGCATGAAAGAAAAGGGAAAGTGTTTTGAAATGAAATTAAAAAGGGATTTTGGGGAGAATTTGATGAAACGGTTTTTTAGAAAAACCCGATCGCCGCGGAGTCACCAAAGGGCCGGTGTGTTAATATAGCATAGAAGGAATTAGGGAGATTGCCCTAGTGTGGTTGAGCTATCTGGGCCCCAAATGACGCTGCGGAGGTACCAAAGGTCAGGGACAGTAGCCAATCCTTCTCTCGTGTCGCCGCAGAGTCACCAAAGGGTGGGTTATATTAACAGTTTGTGAAGTGATGATGTTTTCTGAAAATGGGGAGTGACATGCATAATATTGCATTCATAGCACGAAATTTATTTGCTTTGAAAGAATTGATATTGTGTTTTCCCGATTTTACATGACCCCAAATTCCTATTGTCTTATTCCTTATTTGGATTCACAGGGACACAAGAGGTGTGTCTTATGCACTACCTACTGAGCAATTTTGCTCACCCCTTTCATTTAACATTTTTTTTCAGGAAACGGGAAAGAAGTGGCGGATGACATTCTACCACCGACTTAGTATGGATTATGAGCTTCTTTTGTTGTTTTTGTACTTAGGTCTCACTATTTTTGTAAGACTAAGTATAATGTATTTTGTACGACGACTTATGAACTTTTCATATTTTAATTACACCTATGGGCTGTAACTTTTGTATAAGCTGTCTAAATGTTGCAAAATATGGACATTTGATATTAATCTTGTAATTTGGGACTGTAAATATGATATTTGGATGATACAGTAAGTGGTTGTACCACCATGGAGTGTATTATATGATATATGTATTGGGACAGGTTAAAAATGCATTTAAACATGTTGTTGTAGGATGATTTTTAGCGGAAGTCATGCCGAATTTTTTTTTTTAAAATTTTGGCATCAGTTAGGGTCGTTACATTTAGTTACTTAATAATATTGCATAGTGGTTGATTTGGGCCAAATCAGCCCAATTACCCTTCCCACATAGTAGCAAGTTCTATTTTTCTCATGAAAGGCAACTATAAGTCCTAAACTTTTCTTTTTATACCAATAAGTTCTAATTTTGAGATTTTTATTTATTTATTTATTTTTCATTTAAGTTCTAAATCACTACATCTTTCATTTATAGTCTTACTAAATAGAAGTAAAATTTTGTATTTAGTTATTATTATTTTTTATATTCCATTAAATTTTAGTTACTTAAATTATGAAAAAAGTTTTAGTTATTTAGAGAAAAAAAAAGTTTTAGTTACTTAATAATATTGCATTATGATATATGTGAACATATTGCGTATCAAGAACGAAAAAACAAAAAAAATTACATTATGAATTGAATTAATAATTAATCTTATATGAATTCAATTAAAAATCTCATGTAGCATACACGATTTTAGAATAATAAAATTAATTATTCTATAAAAAATTAATAACACACACACACACACACACACACATATATATATATATTCTTTTTATTCAAAATTAATTTTTGGTTTTGTTAGTGTATATATATAAAAGTTTGAGTCTAAATTTTATATCTAATTTAGCAAGAGTATATGTAATTTAACAAGGGTATACAATAAAGATTTAGTGATTTAGGACTTCAATGAAAAAAAAGAAAAAAAAATTCAGAAATAGGGCTTATTAGTCCTAAAGAAAAAAATTTAAAACTTATTTTGTCGTTCAATGTTAAAGCATTGACTTTTTAGTAATTTTTCCTACATTTAAATGATAAATATATTGTTTACTTCAGGTTTAATATCATCAGGAAAAATCTCCAAATATGGTTATGACTGTTATGTTTTTTTAGTAATTACCTTATTATATATTTTTTATATCCTTAAATCATATCTATCAATTACTATTTTGGTGTTAAAATAGTTTCGTATAAGCAAGAGATTATTACTAATATTGTTACTATGTTTACTTTAAATTCAATGTCTTCGAGGAGCAGTTGAAGTATTAGTTACTCCATTTCTATACATTGTTTGCGTATAAGAAATCGCTTACATTTGCGTGACTAACCAATCATCTTAGATGTTTTCATAGTTGAAGAATGTTGGTTTATCCTGAAAACAAAACATTCCAAGCACGACACTTCTGTTGGGCCGAGAGAATCCCAGCCGTAGAATGCTCATATCTGGTCCCCATCAGAGCAAAGTGTTGGGCTTTATTTAGCATGTCCCTCCAATATATGCAACCAATGGAAGAACAATTTCTCAGTACCTTCGTGATAATAAATAAAAATATAAATTTTATTATCATAATTTTCTTTTATTTTTATTTTTACAAAATCATCTGATTATCAAGATGATTAAATATCTTTTATTTAATCATATCATATCAGGGTTATATACTCCTATATAGCCTCCAGCATTGCAAAGAAAGAAAGCTTTGTCTTTCTTTTTCTTCACCAGCATCATCAACTACTAAGTCCATTATTACCATTATACATGTGTACACACATCAGACTCCTTTATGGACCTTATCCTTCGTACGTACTTTATCTATTCATTATCTCTCTCATTACATTGTACTATTATACACACACACACACACACATGTTATAGCTATACTATTATTTATATTTATGTATGCACATGTCGAACGTCACCGTAACGATATTGTTATCTTATCACGTTCACGCTTTCTCCTTCTCCAGATCCCAATGTTTTTTTTTTTTTTTTTTCCCTTCATAACTTCATTTCTCCGGTGGGTTCGTTTCTCTCTCTAATCTCAATAGGTCCATAACGCATACAGCAGCTCTCTCTTGTTTTCTTTTTTATTTCCGGGAAACTGTTTTCTCGGAAAATTTCTTGGCTTCTGTTTTCTTCTTCTTGGATTTTGGGAACGTTTAGGGTCAGATTCGAGAACACTTTTGGGCATTGATTCGGTGGAGATTTGGAATTTCTGAAGAGATTTGATTGCTGGTGCATTTTTAGAGTTTCATTCCACATAATTTAACGAATTCCGGGGTTCGATTGATGAAATATTTTCATCTATCGATTTGGCGATGGTTGAAAATTCAAAAATGAGGTGAATCTCGTGTTCTTCTCTGAGGTTTTGTACTCGTGGAGCTCAATTGTTGCTGGGTTTGGGACTTGAGAGGTTGGAATCTATTTCTTTTACTCTGTTTTGCTTTATTCATGTGTGTAATTGGAATTATATTTGTCTGATCAGTTGGTAAAAACCACAAATCAGCTGTCAATTGAGCTAAAATTAGGTGGTTTGGGGGGAAAAATCTTAGTTCTCATCGATTTTCTTCTTAAGTTGGTGACAAGTCTCTAATTCACGTCTGCAGAAAACCCATTGATATTATTGTTGTCTGTATCAGTATTCATTGTTTTATATAACCCAATCAATTCTCTTTTGTACAAAATTCACTTCTTTTTTCACTAAAATACTCAATCTGGTGATACACTGAATGACTATAACTTCATTTTGAGGATTGTTTGGTGTTATTATATACTCTGATCTGATATTAACATTCTTCTAAGGACCAGCCCTTATATTTCTTGAGATATGGATATAAGTAATGAGGCCAATGTTGCTCCATTCCCAATTGGACCTTCAACAATTGTTGGTCGGGCAATTGCTTTCAGAGTCTTATTCTGCAAGTCTATGTCACATTTGAGGCATCAGATCTTTCATATGCTGTTATTTTACTTGCATAGAGTCAAGAACTATTTCACACCCGTTATCTCATGGTTTCATCCCCGGAACCCACAAGGGATATTGGTGATGGTAACACTAATAGCTTTTTTGTTGAAACGATTCACGAATGTAAAATTGAGAGCCGAGTTGGCTTATCGGAGGAAATTTTGGCGAAATATGATGAGAACTGCTTTAAGCTATGAGGAATGGGCTCATGCTGCTAAGATGCTCGATAAAGAGACCCCCAGAATGAATGAGTCTGACCTTTATGATGAAGAACTAGTAAGAAATAAGCTTCGGGAGCTCAAGCACCGCCGCCAAGAGGGTTCTCTCCGAGATATTATATTCTTTATGCGAGCTGATCTTATAAGAAATCTTGGTAATATGTGCCACCCCGAGCTCCACAAAGGTAGGCTTCAAGTGCCTAGACTCATAAAGGAGTATATTGATGAGGTCTCGACTCAGTTGAGAATGGTTTGTGACTTTGATTCAGAAGAGCTTCTATTAGAGGAGAAGCTTGCTTTTATGCATGAAACAAGACATGCCTTTGGGAGAACTGCTTTGCTGTTAAGCGGGGGTGCTTCCCTTGGAGCTTTTCATGTAGGTGTTGTGAAAACATTGGTAGAGCATAAGCTTATGCCCCGCATAATTGCTGGGTCTAGTGTGGGGTCTATTATGTGCTCTGTTGTTGCCACCAGGTCTTGGCCCGAGCTCCAAAGTTTCTTTGAGGATTCTTGGCACTCTTTGCAATTTTTCGATCAGATGGGTGGGATTTTTACAGTTTTTAAAAGGGTTATGACACAAGGGGCAGTTCACGAGATCAGACAGATGCAGATGATGTTAAGGCATCTAACAAGTAATCTTACATTCCAAGAAGCTTATGACATGACCGGTCGAATTCTTGGGATTACAGTTTGTTCCCCGAGGAAGCATGAACCTCCCAGGTGTCTTAACTACTTGACTTCACCTCATGTTGTCATATGGAGTGCAGTGACTGCTTCTTGTGCCTTTCCTGGCCTTTTTGAAGCTCAAGAACTCATGGCAAAGGATAGAAGTGGAGAAATTGTTCCTTATCACCCACCATTTCATTTGGGTCCTGAAGAGACTTCTCGCGCATCTGTGCGTCGTTGGAGGGATGGTAGCTTGGAGATTGATTTACCCATGATGCAGCTGAAGGAGCTGTTCAATGTCAATCATTTTATTGTGTCTCAAGCAAACCCTCATATTGCACCTTTGCTGAGACTGAAGGAGTTTGTGAGAGCTTATGGAGGCAACTTTGCTGCAAAGGTATGGACTTAACTATAGAAGGTCATACCTTAAAATTCTTTGGCAAATCACTCTTCCGTTGGAAAAAGTTCTCCTAGTTTCTTAGCATTCCAACTCCTGATTTGAAGCATAGGAACATCAACTTAGGAACATTTGCCAACTAATCATTGCATAGGGTTAGTGATTGAATATTGATGTTGTTGTGTTCTAATATGAAGTCAGTATTTATGATTTTTTTTAAAAAAAAATTCTTTTACTGTTATGAAAAAGAAAAAATAATATAAAATTTTTACTATTCTTTTATTTTATCTATGCAGCTTGCTCATCTAGTAGTGATGGAGGTGAAGCACAGATGTCACCAGGTATTGGAACTTGGTGTCCCTTTAGGGGGAATTGCCAAGCTGTTTGCTCAAGATTGGGAGGGTGATGTCACTATTGTAATGCCAGCGACCCTCGCTCAGGTACATACAAGATTAGATTTTATGTTTTATTTTTTGTTAAAAATGTTACTCCCAAAGCTTCTTTTGATGCTTCATGAGAAATTAAGGGGCACATGTATTTTCAATCTCTCTCAAAGCAGAAAAAGTTGCTTAGCCATAATTATCATACTTTTCTGTCATTTTTCTTTCTTATCTTAGTTTAGGTAATGAGTTTCATTTGGCAGGAGAAATTAAAATTGCTTAGTGAAATAGTAAAAGCTCAGGTGTGAGCAGGTTTTGAGTCTCAGAGTTCTCTAGTCTTTCCCTACTAGAACCTGCATTGATAGGACAGGCATAGGTTATTGACCTTTTTCTTCTTTCTTTTTTATTGGATAGGAGAAAATTAGAAAGAGGAGAATGAGCTCTCTATCAAAGATGAACAACATTGAATATATGAAAACAACAAAAGGGGTGAACTCTTTTGAGAATTTTTTTTTTATAATCTTAGCTCTGACCTTGTAGAGGTCATTGCTTGGTGTGATGGCAAAAGCTTGGGCCAATAAGCGTAAGGAAACGAGTTTGAGTCTGAGAGCAGGCATTTTGCACAAAAACAATGCCAAAGGTTGGTTAGATTTGTCTGTAGTCTTCTCCTTTCAGCATTGGCGGAGCCAGGATTTTACCCTAGTGGGGGCAGCAACCTTAAACTATCAAATAAATATTTAAGTTTTTAAACCAAATAAGAAGTACAAAAATTTAAATATTGATTGATACATCCAATATATCATGTATGCATTTATACTATCATGGCTAAGCATTCAATTTGTCAATCTGAGTTTTGTTTAATTTGTGAAATCACAATTGAATTGTGATTGCAAAGTCAAGCATATAAGTGTTTACTTTGTGAAGTCAAGCATTCAAATATGTAGATGCTGATTAGTATGTCCTCGAAAATTTTGGAATGACTGATTTATTGTTCATCATATAGTTATGATTTGGTAAGTCTTCAAGAAATATTTTATGCAGAACAAAGTTACAAACACAAATGATCTGAAGTCTAGTTTAGAAAATGAAATAGAGACCATAACCACAGGTCCACAAGCCATAGAAAATTAAGACCCTTTTTTATTTTGGTTGCAATTTTGAGAGGGGGCATGATTACAATTATTAGAAAAATTACACAGAAAAATCAAATTATAAAAAGTTGAGTGGGGACATTTGCTCCCACTGGGCACCATGTGGCTCTGCCACTGCCTCCCAGCACCACAGGTAGATGGGACCCCTAGTTAATGTCAATTTTTTATATAATAAAGATCCCACCTTAGCTTAATTATATAGTTCACAATTGACCAATTTTCTGAATCCAATGGGATAAAGACTTTTAAGTGGAAAGCAGCAGCAAAACTGCGTATATGCCTAGTGGTAAAATCACCTGGGCTTGGGTGCTGACTAGCACCAAGGGAGGTGGGAAGGTGCCCTTCCTGGGTCCTCAGGGATTAGTCGGGGCGAAGCCTCGGATACCCCGGGTTATCCAAAAAAGCTACGTATATGCTTCTGTTCAAGGACCCTCTGCACCATTCTTAGCCCATGTTCGCTCAATCTGTGTCTTTTATAAAATCACCAAGGAACTCAAACGACTTTACTTGTGCTTTTGTCAAGTGGGTTATGGCATCCACTTTTCATGTTTGCCAGATCCTTCCTCCTTTCCTCAGGCTGCCCCTGAAGCAGTTTGATAGATCTTGCTTGCAGTCTACTAGTTCTGGGGGGGATTTAGTTCCCCATTCTACTGCTTTTCACATTTTCTGCTCATTTCCATCCTTCTGAATAAATTAAAAAAAGATGAAAGAATCCCACAATTGGGGATTGGCATGATGGTTTCCGTTCCAAATATTGCCAACTCTTCTATGGGAGCACTCCTTGAACCAAGAAGGGTTCAGCACTTCAGCTTTCATAAGCTTTCTTAAAACCATCCAGCCTTATTTTTATATATGTTTTTAAATTTTTATTAAAAACCACCCACAACAAGGCAAAAAAACTGTCTCCCCTTTTAGGTTTTTAGCATCCTCCAGTTTCCCAAGTGTGTTAAAAGAGCAACTATACATAGGAGAAAACAATAATTAAATATCTGTGTGGCTGAAGTAGTTCATCTGTCCTGTTTCATAATGATTATTCCCCTAGGAAATTTTAAAAGTTCCTTTGCTGCACAGCCTGTCACTTCCATTCAGGCTTCCTATAAGAAAATTTTCATGTCAAAATCTTCTATCTACCCACATTAATTTTCAGCTTTTGATACTCATGTTGCATGATTACACACACACACACACACACACAGCCTTTCCCACCCAAATTGTGAATTACTTTAGATAAATTAAGTTATTGTGAACTGACTAGCTTTTGGTTTTCCAATTCCAGTACTCGAAAATTATACAGAACCCATCTCATTTGGAGCTCCAGAAGGCAGCCAACCAAGGCAGGAGGTGCACTTGGGAGAAGCTTTCTGCCATAAAAGCCAACTGCGGGATTGAGCTTGCTCTTGATGAGTGTGTTGCAATTCTCAACCACATGCGAAGACTCAAAAGGAGCGCCGAGAGAGCAGCTGCTTCTTCTCATGGCCTAGCCAGCACGGTCAGATTCAATGCCTCTAAAAGGATTCCTTCTTGGAACTGTATTGCTCGAGAAAACTCAACAGGCTCTCTTGAAGAAGACCTTGGAGATGTGTCTTCACTCCATCAAGGAGTTGGGGGTTCCACAGGAGGACAATCGGGCCGCAATATACGGACCCCACGTAACACGCATGATGGAAGTGATAGCGAATCTGAGACTGCTGAACTCAATTCTTGGACAAGATCTGGTGGTCCACTGATGAGGACTACATCAGCAGATCAGTTTATTGACTTTCTCCAGAACTTGGATATTGATGGCAAACTGAGCAAAGGAATTATGGTTCACCCCAATGATTTTGTGCTTCAGATAGTCGGAAAGGAACCGTATCATCAAAGCTCAAGGGTGACAACACCAGATAGAAACTCAGACGTGGAGTTTGATCAGAGGGACTTCAGTAACAGAGCTTCCTCTAGCAGTTCTAGCATTATGGTGGCTGAAGGTGACCTTTTGCAGCCTGAAAGGATCCAAAATGGAATTTTGTTCAATGTCGTGAGGAAGGAAGACCTAACGCCATCTAATAAGAGTCGTGACTCAGAAAACAAGGGCTTCTCGCAATATTCAGTTGCTGAATGTATGCAACTTGACTGTCCAGAAAAGGAAATGGATGCAAGCTCAGAATCTGAACATGGCGATGATGATGTCACTACAGAGGATTGCCTTAATGAAATGGATTCTGGTTGTGACTCCATGGTTTGTTGTGATATAGACGATGGCAATAATAAGAATGCGGTGCATGGTATTTGAGGTTCATTGATTCTGTAACAAAATGGAGTTGATACGATGCTGCTGTCAAACCGACGCTTCACTACCAGGAGACAGCAGTGAGCTCTATTTCGGCAGAAGATCAGTTAGTGAAATAATGAAGACAATGAAGCATTCTTCTAGGAACCTCACCATGTTAGCAAGCAGTTATGCATTACCACCATGGGATGTTATACCTTAGAAGCTGTTACTGTGCATCTTTTAGTGAGCACGACCATACTTGTCATTCGCACAGTCCATAATCAAATATCATCTGAGAATAAGTTTCTAACCACATCTGTTAGCTCATATTTATTTTGATTTGGGGGGAGTTGTATATCAACCATTAAAATTGCTGTAAATTCTCCTTCAAGGGAAAATCAATGATCACAACCTTGGTTATAGTGTATTCAATAATAATACTATTTCAAATAAATTGTGGTGTATGGTGAATATTTTTCTAGCTATATGGCATTGGTAGAGAAAATTGGAAAACGAGAAAAAAAGCCCAATCATACAGGGACACCTTGGTAAAACTGGACTGATTTTAAAATTTTCATTATAATTGCCGTGTCAAATATTGGCCGTCCAAAGTTTCCTAACGACAAAAGCATAATTGAATATGTGACAATCTCATGATGTCGGCAAAGTTTGATTGAAAATTTTAGGTCTTTTGTCGGCATACGTGGAAACCCAACTAAAGTCTGGTTCATAGTCTGTGTATGACCTATATATCTATACTGTAAGTCTACATATTGCGTGCAATGTCTGAAAAGAAGGGTTAAAGGGAAGACTTGGTCACCGTGATTTAGAAAAAAGTAATTTGTTGGCAAGTACGTGTTTTATCTGTTTAGGTTTTACTTCTGTGGCATGTTTATTTTAATTTTATGAAAATTCTGATATCAAGTAAATTTTATAATGAAAAAATGCCATATATTTTCTCAATAATTTTACTTTAACTATTGGAGAATTTATCAATTTTAGAATTGCTGAGGATTAAATTTATAATGGAATTGCACATTTTACAATATGGGTTCACCTTTTTTTAGTGGGTGTGTATTATTAAATTTCATATATCATAAAGAAAGATGTGTAACACGGAAAAAAAAAAAAAAAGAAGAAGAAGAAGAAGAAGAAAGAAATATGAAGTCCTCACTGAGAGATTTAAATTGAAAATTAAAGTTTAGAAGTGTTAGGTACAGTTTTAAAAATTTTAAATTCTACCTGCATGAAATGCCAAAACATCCTTGATACCAAGTCAATTAAATAATTAGTCAAGATTAATATGATAAATCAGCCAATGCTAGTGAATATGGTGTAATACCACTAAACATCAATCATATTTAAACCCAAATTTCACGGGTTAAGCCTTCTAATCTTTTATTGAGTGACGCGATATCATTTCATTACGTTTACATGGCATCATTGAGTATTTGACAAACAAATTGTTTTTGGAAAAAATAATTATACGAGGGTTACTCACAAATCAATATATTGTTGGAAAAATATATGCTTAATGTGTCTTTTAAGATATAACAACCCTTATATTAATATGTCATGAGATAATTAACAATATGCTAATAAAACATTAATTAAATATGTAACTCTATATTTAATTAAATATGCAAAATAAAGTAATAAAATAATAATAATATGCAAGGAATGAACCTGGACCGAGGGTAGTATTGGATAATATGTCCTTAAGACAGATTCGCCCCGCTATGGTGCTAACGGATTCAGTGGCGTCTATCTCCCAGGATACAACGGTCTACATCCACCAGTAGCAGCACTACAAACTCGTGGATACGGCGAACCTTCTCCGTGTAATACTCTCTCTGACTCAAAAATGCATCTATGATATATAAATGCTGAATTGGGTGTAATTCGAATCAAATGGTTCAGACCAATCTTAATATGGCTCGATGAAATTGGATTAGGGTCTAAGTGGTTCGGACCACTTAACCTATGGTTTGAACCCACTTGGGTTGGGTTCAAGTCTAGAGAGGGAGATAGAAGAAAAAAATGAACAACTTGCAAATGATCCAAAGGGGGGTATTTATAGAAACAAAAATGTCTTTTCGGATGGGGTGTATCTCTTCATTATTGGACACAACCATTGCAATAGGTTGCAATGGTTCACATGGTGTCTGTTCACCACTAGACACATCTATTCCAATAGGTTGCAATGGTTCACATGGTGTCTGTTCACCAATAGACACATCCATTCCAATAGGTTGCAATGTGCCTTTTCGAGTGGGTGCAACCATGGGTTATGATGATTCGGAAAAAGGTGTAACCCTTTGAAGAAAAACTAAAAAGTGGTTTTTTAATTTAAAAAATGTAACCCTTTAGAAAAACTAAAATATGATTTTTTAATTTAAAATGTGTAACCTTTTAGAAAAACTAAAAAGTAGTTTTTTTAATTCAAAAAACCAACCACCCAAAAAACCCACCCATTTGTGAAACCCATTTAAATAAGCCCAGCCTAAAATTAGGCCTAATCCAAAATTCTAAAAAAGAATAATCTTGACTTTACAATTAGGTCCAATCTCAAGCCCAAATCCTAAACTCAGTTTATTTAAATTTAAATTTGTTTCAACATTTTTTTTTCATGTGGGACAAACACTTCCCACATTTTGCATACCCTTTTAAGCTTATCAAAACACCACACTTTGAAGCTAATTTCTCATTCACCCGGAAACGGATTTGAGAAAGCAAATATACCACGTTCATCTCATTACGGAGAGAAATGCGCTCGTCTAGAGATCCGCAAAAATTATTAGCGAAATCTATTCAAAATCTCATCCAAAGTTTATGTTTTTAATGCCCCCGTTTCCAACATATATATACTTATACAGATACAAGCACATATATACATATACTTGCATGTAAAAGTAAAAGTTAGAAGGAAAAATACTTTTAGTAACGAGTAATAGTATAAATAACAAAGAAAAGTATTAAAAATTACTCTTTAGTGAGACAAAATATATTATTTTGATATTAGTGTATAATTAGGCTAAATTTCAGGAGAGGTCAATGTAATATTTAAATACGGGATAAGTGCAGAAAATATTTCTAATGTATATTTTGCGTTACACTTTCACCTCTATTTAAAAAAGTGTGTTAAATCATTTATTTTTATAACATTGTGCGAAAATATCCCTTAAACATAAATTTGACATAAAGTAATATTATAATGCTCGTTTTATCATTTTATTCTTTCGAAAATACCTAAGAGGGTATATATGCTAATAATCTCATAATATAGGGTTGTTATATGCTCATTTAACCCTTCTTGAATGATTTTTCTATCACCTTTTTTTTAAAAAATAATAATAATAATTTTTTCTCTATTTATTTTCCTTATATCTCTCTCTGAGTTGAGAGTTATACATTCTTATACGAAGTCGGAGCCAGTCACTCCAAAGTCCATTGCAGACATTAACCCACTGGACTATCGCGGTATATGCAATAGAAAGTTCTACTTATAAAAATATATATATATTCACAATTAAAATTTAATTAGTTATCATTTTTCATTAAATATATAAATTAAAAATTAAATTAAAGATACTTATTCATTATATGTTTAGGTATGAATCACACCTAGGACGTCATTTCACTTTGTATCTATTTTCGTTATTTCAAAAAAAAATTTTTTTTTAAATAATATGTAAAAATAAGTATATAAGGAAGATTTAGGCCAACTCTATATTAAATATGTCAGTAATGACCTATTTACACAAATTAAAATATTATATACACGGAGTTCAAAGTTTAGTGGGGCAATTGCCCCCACTGGAATTTGTTTTTTATATTATATCCCTTGTAAAAAAATTATTTTGAAATATATACCTATAAAAATGAACCATTGCCCTCATAGAAATTTTTGAAAATTAGCATTATTGTCACCACAAATCCACATTAGGCTTTTTAAAAGAAAAAGGGCCATTATAAACTACGAAAAGTACCAATCTAACCATCAAACACGTTTATACAAAGGTTATTATAATGGTTTGAATTTTTTTTGCTTATTATAATGGTTTTAATTTTTTTTTTTTTTTTTTTTTTTTTTTTTTTTTTTTTTTCTTGTTACTTTCAAACGTCGGCTCCACTCACATAATTTTGAATCCGTCCCTGTACACACCCAATGAATGTATATATTTCTTCCCTTGATTATCCTCAAATTATTTAAAAACTAAAAAGACACACAGAAGTACCTTATTACCCAAATGGAAAAACAAGAATCAAGTACGCAAATGTCAAATTAACACAAAAAGTTTCACGTGCAAAAAAAAAAAAATAAAAAAAAAATAAATCACATTATACAATCAAGACTATTGTCACGATCCGATTCCTAACGACGCCATGAGCATAGAAGATACGCATGCTGGTTGGCTAAGAACATTCATTGACTGGAAATGGTTCCAGGGAAGGGGCGTGCAGGACCACAGGATGGTACCTCTTCAGAGTTCAGGCAGGTCGACTCGGTTCAGTTCGAGGTGCTTGTCGCTGGTCGTGGACTTGACTATGAAGAAGGGAGTTGGCCATCCCTGCACAAACTGGTCGGGAGCTGGAGCCGTTCCCCTGACGAGGCCATGGCAGGCCGAAACCAGTCAGCATGTATACTTGGGAGGGCAGGTCGTGGTGGCTGATCAGGGCGCTTGCGCGAGCTGAAGCAACGCCTTGGTGCCGCACGGGCCGTGCCGCTGCGCCAAATCTCTAGGCCCGTGACAAATGGTATCAGAGCAGGACTTGGGGAAAAGCACAGAGGTGTGCCCTCTTGTCGATCCGGGGGTCTTGAGAATGAAGACGGTGCACAAAAGCGTCGGTGGGTAATCAATGCTGTTGGAGGAGAGCCTCCATCTCCCCATGAAGATGCGTCCTTTAAGCCGGAGGGCCGCGCGCATCGGATGGCCGGAGGGCCGCGCGCACCAAAGTTTTTGCAAGTTCAAGAGGCGTGCAAACCGTTGTGAAGGGCGGGTATCAAGTCAGCCGGAGGGCGCTTGTTTGCTCGGGGTGTCGCGGAGGCGGCATAACGTGGGGTTGCGTCCCGAAGAAGTGGGCGTCCCTTTAGCCCGAAACCCTATCATTGGGCGAGTGCAGCCAGGGGTTGTACAAGGAAGCGATGGTGGGCAGGCGAGCATACCACTTGGAGGAGACAGGCTTTGGATTGTTGGACGCAGCGGAGTCAGCGCCGCACTGCGACGAGGGCGTCGCAGGATTTGGGTGGGGGAGAATGTCACGATCCGATTCCTAACGACGCCATGAGCATAGAAGATACGCATGCTGGTTGGCTAAGAACATTCATTGACTGGGAATGGTTCCAGGGAAGGGGCGTGCAGGACCACAGGATGGTACCTCTTCAGAGTTCAGGCAGGTCGACTCGGTTCAGTTCGAGGTGCTTGTCGCTGGTCGTGGACTTGACTATGAAGAAGGGAGTTGGCCATCCCTGCACAAACTGGTCGGGAGCTGGAGCCGTTCCCCTGACGAGGCCATGGCAGGCCGAAACCAGTCAGCATGTATACTTGGGAGGGCAGGTCGTGGTGGCTGACCAGGGCGCTTGCGCGAGCTGAAGCAACGCCTTGGTGCCGCACGGGCCGTGCCGCTGCGCCAAATCTCTAGGCCCGTGACACTATGATGTTTACTTTATATATTTAACATACTTTATAATATACTATAACAGTCACACACGCACACGACAAAGATCCCACACCATTAAGACCGCATACATTAATCAAAATTAGAACAAAATACTCTTTCACCAAAAGTCTCTTACGAAGCTTCGCAGAAGTTGCCATGGCCTTATCTTCTCTCCCACCTTTTAACCACCCCATCTTCCTTCCTTTCTCCACTCAACCCTAACATTCTCTCTCTAACTTTCTCTCTCTCCCAATCTTCTGCGGTTTAATTTTCAGCCATGAAGCTCATTGTCAATCCTAAACATCTTTTCCGCTCCAAGAAAAACCAATCTGTCTCACGATCTGAACCTTCATCGTCCGGTTCTGTAACATCGTCTGACTCGTTGGAATCGTCGTCGTCGTCCTCCTCGTCGATCCACAAGGCCGACGCCGGCAAGAAAATCGACGATGGCGGGACTCCGACGAGTGTTTTGCCGTCACATTCACACGATATTTCTGATATCTCCGGTGAATGGTCGGAGATCTCCGGCGATTTGTATTTCGAATTGGAACAAGCGTTTAAGTTGATAGACAAAGACGGTGACGGAAAGATAACGAGAAAGGAGCTGGAAGCTTTGCTGAGCCGAGTGGGAACCAAGCCGCCGAGCGACGAGGAGCTGACGATGATGTTGAGCGAGGTGGATAGCGATGGCGACGGCTGTATCAGCTTGGAGGAGTTCGGCGCGATCCGATCAGCTTTCGAGCCTCCGGCCTGCGACGCGGAATTGCGAGACGCGTTCGACTTCTTTGACACGGATCGCGACGGAAGGATAACGGCGGAGGAGCTCCACAGGGTGTTCTCGGCGATAGGGGACGACCGAAGCACGTTAGAGGAGTGCCGGCTCATGATAAGCACGGTGGATAAGAATGGAGATGGGTTCGTTTGCTTTGAGGACTTCACGCTTATGATGGAGCAGCAGAGAGCTTAATGCCGATCATGCCCTAATATATATACATATACATAAATATGAAAATTTGGTTTTTTTTTTTTTCGGTTTAAGCTCAAAAGAGAGAAAAGGATTAAATGAATTGCTTGATTGCTTGATCGATATCTTATGTTGTGAAATTCTGTTACCACTGTGTATGCATTTGAGAAATCAATCATGAATCAATTTATTTTATTTTGTATAGTTAGAATTTTTTTTCCTTTCTGAAATGGGATATTTCTTGAATTTTATAAATAGAAGTACCATGGTACAATTACAAAAAGGGAGGGTAAACCTCCAAAAGAAACAGAAGAGTGGACAACAAGTCCATCCACAGCAAAACTAGAAACCAAATCCTGACTAGAAAAACCAGAGAGAAAACCAAAGCCTTCTTAGAATGAAAGTAAAAGCAAGCAAACAAAAGAAAGCCATCCTCGAGAATGAAATCCTGATGAACCAGACCACAGCAAAACCAAACACTCAAGAATTGTTGACCCTACATGAGAAATCAATCGTTTTTGTATTTTTGTCTAAGTTTCTGGTTCCTTGTCATTTGGTCACCCTACATGAGAAATCAATCATTTTTTATTAAGGAAACACTGTACCTAACATCATGAAACAACGATGGAACATGTAGCGTGCAACATCATGAATCAATGGTGGAACATGTGCTTTTTTTTTCTTTTCTTTCTTTTTTGTTTTTTTTTATTTTTACAGATGGAACATGTAACATAGGGGATCCTATAAAAAAAAAAAAAAAAAAAAAAAAAAAAATTAGTATAGGAAAAAAAAGAAAAATTGTATGGAATGGGCTACACTTCGGCCTCTCTAATGGGCCATTAACAAATTTAGTTTGAAACTTTTGTCAATATTAAAAATCTTTTTTTTTTTTTTAAATACTTTAAGAATATATCTATATATATATATATATCAAACTTATATAACATTATCAATCAATTAAACAAAAGTCTCATTTTGTCAGACTCAATACCAAATTTTATTAATTGATTCAGGGATTTGATTCCCAGTTCCAAAATCACTCATTTTCTCCTTCTGGAAAGATTTGATTGAACTTGCGGATACTTAATTGAATACTCAATATTTTCAAGGTAAACATTTATATTTTATTGATTGAATATTGTCCATAAAGGAAACATCTTGTACAGAAAACATCATAATAGAAAAGATGAACATTTAAAATCAAATTAAAAAATTGTACTAATCAAATAAGGCATTACTTGGGGTCTAGGTAATTTTTCCCAAACCTCAAATTTTAGGGCCAATATGGCCCAATCTGATCTGCTCCAAGAACCAGCAGAAAAGAAAATTTGTGAGAAAGACGACAGCAGCAAATAGCATAGACATTGCAGTTGTGAAAGCGGCAAGTGATTTTAAGTGAAGACTTTAATTTCAAGTATTTCAACTTCTCCACTTCTTTCCCAATACTTAGTAAAAATTTACAAAGCCTTATGCTTCATGTATCTTTTGGATTTATGTGTCAAATGAACCACATAAGAAGCATTGTGATGACCAGTAGAGGTCATACTTCAATCTAAACTTTATGTATTCTATATAAATTTGTTTTTTGTAATATTTCAACTTTTTTCTAAGATGATGATTCATAAAGTTAATAATGTTCTGTTTTGCATTGTTTACTAATAATCATTTTTTTATTATTTTTTTTTTAATGTTTTTTTTTTTGGAATTTTAAGCAAATATTATAAATTGAAGAAATGTTTACATATGAAGGCCAATTGGCCAAACAGCCCCTTTGGGGAGAACAAGCCCAATTTGGACCAATACACAGTGTAGCCCAGGCCCATCCTACTGCCTACCCATACATTGAAGCCAAAAACCCATACTGTTTAAGCCCAGAAACAAATAGCCATAATTAACGGTTGTTAATGCCCGTTAATGGTGGTTATTTGCCAAAGCACTCCGGTGACTCTAGGGCAATGATTCCGACGATTGAGCCGGAGCTTCCTTCAATCTGGTGGACGCGGCGGAGGACGACAACATGAGGGGGATAGGTTCCATTCTGAAAGAATTCTTCTCGCTGTGGAACAATCTTGCAGAAAGCCAAGCTTTAGAATTGCAGTGATGGTGGAACAAATCCGAGCGAGGACGACCTTCTGAGAAGCTCTCTTCTTCGTGAAGATTCTTTCATTCCTTTCTTCCCAAATGTGGTACACAGTGGAAGAGAAGCATACCTTCCTAAACAGGTTTGGGACCGATTTTGCTTTCCATCTTTCACTGATGTAAAAAATTAATTCCTCCCAATTTGTGATAGTTGTATAGAATTGACTTTTCTCCTTGATAAATCGCCAAATTGGAGAAGTGAAACAACATTTAAAGAATAGATGTTCATGTGATTCAAGCTAATTTTGACAAAGAGCACAAGTGTTGGTGTGTTTTCTCATTGATCTGCTATCCAATGTAGGCAACCTTGATTGCACAGCCAGCCATAGGTTTAGCTTCATTCTAGGTATGATTGGTGAGGACCATACCAGATTCTGCCAATGGACTTGAGGATATTGCCCTTGAAGGAAGGAAGTTATGTGACTTAGGCTGAACATACCTGTTGAGGAAGCTGTCCATCTCTTCTTGTCCCTCCTAGCTGGGAGTGGAGGTTGGAGTTGCAGCAATTCAGGGATGGAGGTTATGATGTCTGGTGGAAAAGACCAAGTTGAACCAACAATAAAGTTGTCCATTGTGGTTTCATGACTTAAGCCTGTTTGTGTGAGAATTGTTGTGGGAAATCTGGAACAAAGTGGTCCTTCTGGAGCCCAATTGTCCAACCAAAAGGAAGTGTCTGTCCCATTGCCAATAGAGTGCTTTAAGAGAAGTCTAGCCGGATGTCTTAGTTGCAGCATCTTCCTCCAGCTCCAAGAGCAAGAGTGAGGAATATTGAGCTCCCATAGATTCCTACTCTTTATGAGATGAGTGTAACACCATTGAATCCAAAGTCTGCCATTAGTATCTGTTTGTAAATCCCAAATGAACCTCATAATTCCAGCCTTGTTTGCCAATTCCAAGTTTGGAATCCCCAACCCTCCAGCTTCTTTTGGTCTGCAAATCTTCCCCCATGACACTTTAGCTCCAGTTGATCTCATTTCAGGGCAAGACCAAAGAAATGATCTTAAAATCTTGTTAAGTTCATTGATCACTGCTTTAGGGAGGATGAAAATGCTTGACCAATATATTTGTGTTGAGACTAGGACAGCCTTGATGAGCTGTAATCTGCCTACATAAGAAAGTGACCTAGAGGACCAATGTGATACCCTTTTGGTGATTTTCTCAATTAAGAGGCTGTAGTGGGATGACTTTAGGCAAGTGGAAATCAAAGGTACTCCTAAGTACTTGACTGGGAGAGAGCTTGCTTCAATTCCTAGCAATGAAATAATGTTGTTCTAAGTGAGTAGGTCCACCCCAGAAAAGAAAATTGTGCTTTTGGATGTATTAATGTCAAGACCAGACATTGTACTGAAGTAGTCCATTGCTGACTTGATCACTGACACTGATGTAATGTCTCCATGGCAAAAGAGAAGCAGGTCATTATCATATGATAGGTGAGTAATCTTTAGTTCTTCACATCTCCAGTGGTATCTGAAAGCCTCAACCCTGCTCATAAAGATGTTGATGATAGAGGACAGTGCATTCATCGCAATAATAAAAAGAAAGGGGGAAATAGGGTCTCCCTGTCTTAACCCTCTCCTGCCCTTGAAGTAGCCCTTGAATTCACCATTAATTGCAATAGTGAAAGAGGATGAGGAAATGCAGGCATGTATGAGAGAGATGAATTTACTTGGGAAGTGGTGCAGTGTTAGGCAACTCAAAATGAAATCCCATTTGACAGAGTCAAATGCTTTCATAAGGTCCACCTTAATGGCACATTTGGCTGGTCCATTATGCCTGTGGTAGCCCCTAAGTAGTTCATGAGCCAAGAGGATAGGATCAGTGATCTTTCTTCCTTGGATAAAAGCTGATTGAGAGCTGTCAATGATGTGTGGTAAGGTGGATTGGAGCTTGGTTGCAAGCAGCTTTGCAATGCATTTATACACTGTATTACAGCAGGAGATTGGCCTATAATCATGTATAGATGATGGATTTTGACATTTTGGGACAAGTGAGATGTATGTATTGTTTGCTTCTGAGAGTAGCTTTCCATTGGTGAAGAATTCAGTGATAGCTCTAGTTACTGATCTCCCTACAATTCCCCAACTCTTCTGGAAGAAAGCGGCATTGTATCCATCTGGGCTAGGGGCTTTGTCCCTATTGAGCTTGAACATGCATGTTTATATTTCCAAAGGGGAAGGGATTTCATCAAGTATTTGCTGCAGATGTGATGGAACTTGGACATTAAAAAATACCTGCAGTTCAGAGGTGAGATGAGTTGATGGAGGGGAAGAGCCTAGTAGCCTTTGGAAATGACCCACAATTTCTGTAATGATCTCTTCTTTGTTAGTAATGACTTGGCCTGAATCTGTTGTGATGGAAATGATCTTCTTCTTGTTGTTTCTAGAGGATAGGGACTTGTGAAAATATGCTGAGTTGCTGTCACCAAGCTTCAGCTAAGTCATTCTAGACTTTTGTCTGAGCATGTCCTCTTGGAGCTTTGATATCTTTAAAAATTCAGAAATGAGAGACCCTTCCATTTCTCTAAGGAGGACATCACTGGGAGAGCAATCAAGATCCATTTGACATGCATCTAGTTCCAGTTTGATTGCTTGGAGCTTTGAATCAATCCCATAGAAATCCTTCCTGTAGGTTTCTCTAAGGACTGATTTTAGTAGCTTTAGTTTTTGTACCACTTGAAACATTGCTGTCCCTTTAATATATGTGCTCCATATAGTGTGGACTGATGTTGAAAAGTTGGGGTGTGAAGCCCAGGCATTAAAGAATCTGAATGGGATGCATCTCCTTGGAATCTGGAAATCAATCTTTACCAATATTGGACTGTGGTCTGAGATACCAGGTGTGAGGAATGAGCATTTAGAGAGAGGGAAAGAGGTGGTCCACATTTGGTTGATGAGTGCTCTGTCCAACTTCTTGGTAATACATGCAGTTCCCTTGCTTCTGTTACACCAAGAGTAGAGAATGCCCTTGTATTTGAGGTCTTCAAGTTCAGCATGCTGCAAGCATTCTTTGAAATCAATCATTGCAGGGCTCCACTTCATTGAACCTCCATGTGTCTCACCCATA